AGGATACAGAAAGAAAATATACCTCAAATAGGGAAGGGCTTGTTTCTATGTGATGTTCTGGGAGCACACAGCCCAGCTTCAATGGAGTTGACTTTAGGTCCTTTGATTCTTTGCTGTACACATGTATATGCCCAAATCTTCTGTGTTAAAAATATAAGTATTACCCATACAACCCTTGAAAGTCCCACTTTTGTTTATACAGGAAAGGACACCTTTCCTTCTGAACACCTATTTTCTTTCAAACAATAAATATTGAATGGGCTCGTTTTATAGTAGCAAGCCTCTGGTGAGAAATACGTCACACCAAATCAAACTTGGCATTTGACCCTGTGCTCAACGTGGAGATGGTTGTAGTAGATCGGAAGCCTCTGGTAGGCTTGCTCTTCCAGAACCGCTGATGCTGTTGATTTACTGGTAGCAAAGCTGGGCTGCGTCCTCAGAGGAAAGGAGAAGCAAATCCAGAGTCCTTGATTCCTTGGAATTTGCCTTTTAGCAAGAGAAGAAGGAGCGTAGTTCAGCAGTTAAGGTCCTGGACTAAGAAACATGAGATGGAGGACTTAAAATTTAAGCATGTCTCTGGAGTTGCCATTAATACATGGTCTTTAAAAAAAAACAGAAGTAGGATGTCTTACATCTGGGTCCAGGTCTATTTTTTTCGCTAGCTGACAACTGACCTCAGTGTCTTCATCTGAAAATTAAGAGACTCTGATTAAATAATAACTGCTGACATTTCTTCAGACTTTTTACTGTGTCAGGAACTATTCTGAGCTTAGTATTACATTGTTTATTACTCTCTAGGTATTCTTTTGGTTTAATTTTTTCAACCTACATCATGCTCTGAAGATATTCTTAATATCTTCATTTAGGAGACATCATCAATTAGGAGACAAGACATGCTGAGATAATCTAGTGCTCGATAATCAGAGAATTTTCGAGATAACAGGGCACATGGCAATCACTTCCTCTGGGAGGCAGTATCATTGCAGTGAAGTGGGCAAGCTCTGTACCTCAAATGTGTGGCTTTCAAACTTGGTTCTCATTAAGAATACAGAGCAAATGGCTTAACCTTGTTTACCTCAATTTTCTTGTCTATAAAATGGGGACGATGATATAATCTGCACTATAAAGTTGTTAGTATTAAATATGCAGTGCCTAGAACAGTGCCTGTCACCTAGAAAGCTCTTAGTAAATGTGACAGCTATGAGGATGGGGCCGATGATGGTTGTGACTGGATAAGTAGACACTGTTGTTTTCGTTGTTGGTTTTGAGATGGAGTCTTGCTTGGTTACCCAGGCTGAAGTGCAGTGGCACAATCTCGGCTCACTGCAACCTCTGCTTCCCAGGTTCCAATGATTCTTCTGCCTCAGCCTCCCGAGTAGCTGGCATTACAGGTGTGCACCACCATGCCCGGCTAATTTTTGTACTTTTAGTTGAGACAGGATTTCACCGTGTTGGTCAGGCTGGTGTTGAGCTCCTGACCTCAGGTGATCAGCCCACCTCAGCCTCGCAAAGTGCTAGGATTACAGGCATGAACCACCATGTCCTGCCGACACTACTGTTTTTCTTAGAAGAATGTGCTGCAGCAGTATTAACAGATCTTCTGTTGGGTCAGAAACAAGTGCTGGTGATTGTCATGGTCTTCATGGAAAGAATGGAGCTTTCATCATCAGTGATACACAATGGGTTTTTAGATAAATAAATAATTTCTGTTGAAGAAGCAGAGTTAACGGGAGACCGTTAGCCCAGAAAAATGTGTGTTAAATTGTAATTCAGCAACAAGTTCATGGAAACACAGTGTCCATGAACTAGATAGGTGCATATATTTTTCAGGCTTTCTTTAAAGCTGTGAAATTTCAATAATGTGTAAGAGAAAAAGGGATATGTGAATACCACCGTGGATGGGGAGGAGTTATATTTAGATGGTTATCATTAGGCAAGCCAATGAGTATTAATTAGCAAGTTATTACCATCGCCCTTTCTCTGAACACTTGAAGGCTCTCTGCCACCAGAGTCAAGGGTAGATCTTGCTTCTGTGGCATTCATCAGAATGCAGATTTTCAGTGAGGTCTCTGTTAAATAAACCATCAGTGTCTGGGAGGGGGAGGGAAAACAGACCGAGAGAGACAGCAGTAACACATATAGAAAGGAAGTCCAAATTTGGGTGCTTATATGGCCATATTCCAGTTTCTCTGGATCATCATGGACACATATAGAATGTTCGTGCTAAATGAGACTTGGAGATTGCCTGGTACAACCCCCTCATTTTGCATTTTACTTTTCTATGAGAATAGAGTTTGGTGAAATCTGGCCAGGATTTCAGTACAGTGAAATCAGGGAAGTTTGTGGTGTGTTTAGAGAGAGAATTCACGTGAAAATGAAGGGAAAGCGGACATTCCTTCAGTTTTAGAGCGATGTCCAGGTAGGAAAGTAGAGTGGGCAAGGCAGTGAATATTCCCAAATTAATAGAAAGAGGAAGAGAAAGAAAGGGAGGAAGGGAAAAGAGAGAATCTAATTTTATGCTAAACAGTTTTAGATTGGATTTGTAGCTAATGTTTAAAAGTTGAGGAAAAAGAAAAACTCTTACTTTATTATTTCTAGGAACTTGGTTTTCTTAGATGGAAAGGGAAATTTGGGGGAGTTTGGCAGCATGAATGGTTCTAGCAAGTAAAGGATCCCCTGGCTGCATCTAGTGTTGAACCTAGTAAGCAGTTTATGTTAATCTTACTGTTTAAGATGAATATATCTTGGTGTTTTGAATAATTATTTTTAACTAAGTTTATGCCTAATGCCTTCTTTTAAATAACAGTGTGTCTCAATAGGAACTAATGAGTCAGATTAATTTGGCATGGAGTTCTGAGCAGGGGAGGGGACTGAAGTCCTCTTTCAGAACACTAAAAATGGTTTGCTAAATTCCTTGACAGTTTCTCAAGCCAGGGTTGGGTTGGAGGGAGTCTTTCCGAAGATTTAAGGGCTCCCCACTGAGCTAGCTCCCCAGTTCCAATAGCATCAAGTTACTGAATGAGGACTCTTGTGAAAGTCCACATCTCTAATGCATCTGTTCACATGGAGAAAAATAAGCCAGGAGCCCTGAGGATGAATCAAAGATAGGATTTTTATGGCTCTGTACCCACTTGTGTTTTATTTTTTTATAAAAAGCATTATTTACCTACCACGTCTGTAAGTACTTCAGAAAGAGGCTTTGAGTTTGTCATTGTTTTTAATTTGAAAAGAAAAACATTGTACTTATTTCTCAACTGCACTTTTGTGAGTGTGGCGATATTGGAGGCTCTCCATATTGGACGCCTCGAGCTTGCCTAATAGCACAGTCCACCCGCATTGCTGGGAGAAAGGCTGCAGGAAGATGAGTAGCGCCTAGGGCTGAATGCCATCTCCGTTTAGGTCTTTCTTCTTTTTGGCTTTTCGTTCTACTTTCCCTTGCTGCTCCTACTTCAGCATCTGCTTGTTGTGCTGGGTAATGGAATCAAGTTAGAGATGAAGAAACTGAGGCACAGCCTAGTTACAGCACCTTGAGGGCACCAACAAGGCAAAATGACAGGCAGCACTCAAGCCTTTAGTCTGGGTGGAGACTGTAGGTCCTGTTGTTTCTTCTGCCCTAGAAATTGCTTGGGCTGCTGAGTTGACATCTCTTCTATCCATAGAAAAATCCTCTGCTTAGTGCTTGCAAACTTGTACCACAAAAATCACATCCTTGGGAGGGGGTGGGGCTTGGGAAAGAGCTTAGGAAACCAAAGGTTGCCAAGAGTGGCATAAGGGAAAGCAATTTTTTAGTGCCTGTGCATAGGGATTTTACGGGTTTTATGTTGCTCTGAAGTGCCAGGGTCAGTTCTGAGCAAGACACTTTGTGTGAAATGAGGAGTGATGTCTGCGGTTGGCATTCTTTCTTGTGGTTCTACCTCAGCTGTGCTCCCTGACTTTATTCACCTATATGAGAACCCTATGCGGGATGCCCTGGTGAAGAACAAGAAATTGCCAGGGCCTGGCACATTGCAAGTCCACAAGTTCCTGGTAGGGAGTGAAAATTGGTTATGTTTGGAGTATGGAGAGATAAGCTTAACTAAACTGTGAGTAAAATGAAAACAAAATCAGAATATGCCCTCAAATGCTGGGGAGAAGAATGTTAGATAAATTTTACTGGTCTGTTAAAAAAAAAAAAAAGCTAAGTGAGGAAAGGGGGAATTATAGAAGAAATAATTTAAAAACTGGTATAGGAGAAACACTGGGGGTGGGGAGCGGAAAGCAGCATGATTAATACTTATTTTCCCCTTCTAGAGTTCGAAGTAGTAGAACCTTATGGGAAATGAAGGGAATATGTAAGAAATCAGAACATTTTCTAAGCAGAAAATAATTTTTCTTTTGAGTGAAGGCATGTGAGTTAATGAATGTAAACCTGCATTAAAGTGGAGAAAAAATTGTGGTCAGAAAGAGGGAGAAGGAGAAGCAGTATAACTGTTTTTAAAAATTCAGCCTAAATTGAGTATTTAGCATTTCCATCTTAGAGTATGAAGGGCTTTAAATATCCCTTTTTGAGGAAGTTGAGTTGAAGGTAGAAAGGGCTTTCGAAACTTAGAAATTCTAGGGTTTAGATTTTTTTCTTTCATATGTTTACTTGAAGCTTAGACTATAGAAACTATCTATAAAATAATAATTGTTATGTATTAGGAAATATTTTTAAATAGATAAGGATAGTTAATTGCTTAAATATAGTGAAAGTATTAAGATTATTGAATCATAAATAGGACCCCCAAAATATGTCAGTGGCAGAGTAAAATGCAGAAAAACTAAGTATATCAGAAACTACTATCTGTGGCAAAATTCAAAACGGGGTTTTTAATTGCAGCATTAGTTTAATTTAATTATATTTCAGACTTGCGGCATAAAATTAGGACTCAAAATATACAAATATCTATATACCCATTGTGATTTTTTACAGAATAGAAGTAATCATAATCATTTACTTGTGTTTCTTTTTATTTCTATAGGAAAATGCAAAAATTTCATCTCCTGAAGAGATCTGAAGTTTTTTTTGTTTTTTTTGAGATTCTTTTAAAGGTGAAACTTTTCTTCTTTAGGTAAGGAAACGTTTTCTATTGTTTATCCATGGGTTGAAAAGAGCATTTCAATTAGAGGAAAGAAGTAACACGTAATGAACCTCTGCTTCTCTTAACTGATGTAAAACATTATGAAGATGATAGAAAGCAGATTTTTAATTTAAATAAAACAAAAGTAGTTAGAAATTTTTTATTTAAAAAAGATAAATTGTTAGGGGAAAAAAATGAAACAGACCCCTTTTTTGCACTTTCTCATAGACTGAAGGATAAGAGGATTCCTATGATCCATCTTTTAAAAATACTTAAGGCATAACCAAATTAAAATAAAAGCTATGCTTCCTGAACAGTTTTAAGAATACTTAGCAAAATCAGAAATGGGAGACTTTTCAGACATCGAAAATATTCCTAAATATAGATGCTTAAAAACCAATGTGATAAACTATTTTGATAAATTTGAAAGACTGATCATTGTTTCTAAAGCAGGCCCACGAGTTAAAGTTAATTAAGATTTGTGCAGTAATAGCGAAATTTAAACTTCAGTGTATACTCACATGCTGGGAAAACATTGTTTTGTAGGGTCAAAATGTAAATATAAACAATTTGTTTAATCAGGCAAGAACCTATACTTTATCTATGAACTCTTTTCAGTGTTAAGTAATTGCATTATGTTGGTAACGTAAGAAAAGAAGAGACAGACTAACTTTTAAAGCATATTAGAATACTTGCAATTCATTCTATTTTTGGCAATAATTCTATTAGTGCAGTTACTTGCAAGAACAGTATAAAATACGTATGTGAAAATCGGATGTTTTAAAGCAGATTAAAAGTGCAATTAAATTGTCTAAACAAACATTTTAAATGCTTTGAAGTATTTTATGAAATTACAAGAATAAAACAAATAGTTTCAAAAATTATATATAGACTCTGTAGTAAATATGCAGATTTGTAGATTCCAGCTTTGTCACCAATGCCACATTTGGGAAAAAAAATAGATTGCAATGTTTGTCTTCTAATAACATATATATATTCTTAAAAGTATACAAGATTTTTCCTAATTTTAAACATATGAATACTGTTACATATAAATATTTTTTAAATCTTAGTATAGAGTTTAGGATTTAAAAATATATACGTTAAAAATTCATGTGGTGAAATAAAATCTAAAAACTTGAGGGAAAATACTAAATTTTTTGGTATGCATTTGAAGAGTTCATTTCTAGAATAAATTTGTTTTCATCTTATAAAGACATTTATATTAATATTAAGTATATAGATTAAGACTTACTTAAATTACTTAAAATATACTAAACTGCTAAGTTATTTTTAAAAGAATGATATGGGTAATCTGAAAAGATGATAAAATTATTTCTAATGTAATCTTTACATAAAGCCCTTTAATATATCAGTTTTTACCTCTTGTATTTTGAACGGTTAAAATACAAGAAAAAAAAAGGACTAACTTCCTAATTGGAAATATAATCTTATAGTATTGAGGAGAGAATTGTAAGCATGTAACAAATGTATGAAATCAGTTTCGTTTCTGACTTGTTTTTGAGCCTGTCTTATGAATCATCATATATTTTAACATCAGGAGAATAATATATAAAATATGTTTTAAAATTTCATAATCTGGCAGCTATTAAAAAAGAGAAGAAAAAAATTAGAGCTTTGCCTAGCAAAATACTAACTAAAGTGTTAGGTAAGAATTAGAAATGTACAGATGCTAAAGTAGTATAATAAACTAAAATTCCAAATATATATGAATATATAGTTTTTTATATCTTGGTATATAGCATTTATCTTATTTGTTTAGGAAACTACATATTGTACAGGAATGAAGAAGTAAATGATGAAGTATTTTCTCATCACAGTTTACTAGATAAAAAATTTACTAATAAGCTAAATGTAATACTAAGAGACACATTTAAAATATAATTTTGTAGAGTTTTACTGAATACATATCTTTCCAACAAGGCTTTAGGTTTTTGCACGTGTATTAAGATTTCTGAGTTTTGTGATTTGAAATTCATGATATATTTTGAGTGCCCTTTCAAATGGCAAATTGTTTCTGTGGAAAAATCAGACATTATATACCTTTTATTTTATATTTGGCTGTGAGAAAAATAGCAGATAATTTGGGAGAATTCTAGTTGTTGCCTTAGTGCATGCATCAAATACCAAACAACGATTTTGTCTCGCAGTTATATGTCTGGGCATGTTTGTATTGTATGTACAAACAGGATATCGAACTTATATTGATTATACAGTGTTCTCTAAACGTGATTGTTAATCTTTACTGAAATTATGGGCAAAGTATTTCAAAGAAGTGAGTTTTAAAACTCTTATTTTTAATTAAAATGAGAAAAACTTTGAAGAGTTCATTTATGAATAAAATATGTAATTGTGCAGTCTTCTGAAAGAATGAACTCTTAGTTTATTTTTTAAATTTTATCAAAATGTTTCTTTACTTGTTGCTTGTTGGCATTTTAAAATTAAAAAGTAATAAAGCAGCATCATTATATTTCTAATCATTTTTCTGTCAATAGAGTGAAAGGGAAACCAAAGTATATTGACACAACCCAGGTTTTCCCCTTAAAAAAACTAACTTCAAATTGAAAAAATATATTGCCCATATTTAATATTTCTTATTAGGACTTACTTGGCGTTGTGTAATTTTTTTGAGACAATATATTGGAGGAAATTTGTCTTATAAAATGGAGATAGGTAGAACTTGTAGGCAGTTGTACGATAGTCTTTCTTGTTGCTTCCCAGAAGTTAGAAAACAGATTTTAAATTAATAGTGTTGAGTACACGAATCTCTGAAGCATAATAATTTAGAAAAGTGTTGGAAAATTATAAAGGAGAAGAAGAAGATTAATTGAAGTGTCCCCTTTTCAATGGGAAACATTTGACACTCTAAGGAGTGCTCTGGAAATTAACAAATGCTTCTCTGTCAGGGATAATTTTCTGGGCAATTGAGGTTGTTTGTGTGATAAGGGAAGGCGGCTAGATAGCAGAACTGTAGGTGTTTGAGAAAACTTCCGAAGTTACTTTCAGATTGAGAGGGTGAAAGTAGGTGCAACAATTGGCTGTTGGGAGGGGAAAGGGTGTAGGGCTCACCAGCCCGGCGCCACGACAGGGTTAACCGCGGTGTCGCCCGGTGCACACTGGGAGTTGTAGGCCGCGGGCATTGTGGGAGTTGTCGTAAAAGCCGGTTTTTCTTGCCGTGATGGCCGCCGCCGGGACAGGAAGTTGGGGGTTTCTGCTTTTCAGAGGGTCTGGGGGCTGTCTGTCCCGTTAGAAGGTCACCAGCAGCCCCCCAGGTTGCCAAGGGCTTGTTAGTTGTGTTCCTGGAAGGTGGGCGAGCAGCCTGAGGGGTTAACATTGGGATTTGCCGTCTTTATAGTGGTCAAGGGGCCTGTAGCGGCCAAAGGGTCGGTGAGGAGGGTCCCAGCCGGCCGGACCCTGGTCGTCTGGCATTCTGCCTTTGAAATATCTGTGTGGCTGGCGCCTAGGCATATGGGGGTATGATTTCTGTTTTGTAGTTTGTGGCTTGCACTCTCCACTGTTCTTAGAGCGTTTGATTCTGTCCATGTGGCAATTGGTACTCATGGCCTTATTTGGGGTTAGACTAGGTTCTTTTTCTTGGGTCTGGTGGGACTTAAGCAAGAGCTGGAATTTTGTAAGATGTACAGCAATGTTGTCTGTCTGGTTTGGGGTGTGAGCAGTTGCAGCAGTTATGAACATGCCCATGATAGTGAGGTTGGCTTTCTCTTGCATGTGGTGAACTTTCCCTTTGTTTGCTAATCCCGACAGGCAGGGTCAGGCAGTTCCTACTTGTGAAATGCTTTCTTACCAGCTTGGATGTGTTCTTAAATCTTGGGAGCTTCCAGAGGACTCCTTTGTAGTTGCTTGTAGAAAGATATGTGTGCAAAACTGAATTTAAAACAAACACCAGGGTTGCAGGTGCCTTTAGTTCTAGGGAGCAAGACCCCCAGGCTTCCCTGGTGCTGTGAAGTTGTTTGAGTTTATTTATGGAAATTAGGTTTGCTTTGAGCTGTGTTACCTTCCTCTTGGCTCAGTATTTCTCTGCAGGTTGGAACTCTGATCTTTGATATTGGTTACTCTTTTCAACACTTGAGGCAAAATGAAGCCCTGTGTACTGATGTGTGATTGCCTGTATCAGAATCTCAGGATAACACTAGATAGCCAACCATGGCAATACCTGTTTTACCTGTCTACATGAATGGGACGACCTCTTTGTTTCTGCCACCATGTACTGCTCCATAAATTCCGCCTTATTTCCATGGTCTCGTTGTTGTCTGTAAGCTTTGAGACCTAACTGGTCATGAAAAGCCATTTTTCACACCGTATTTAAAAGCTTTTTCCCACAAGTAGAACTGGTAGCTAAAAAGTTTTTTCATTCAAGTTTGGTAAAGTAGGAGATTCGAAATAAAGTACAACAGTGGTTTTGGAAACCAGCTTTCAGGTTTTAGTTTTAGGGGCAACAGCGTGACAGAAATGATTTATAGAGAGAGTAAAAAAAATTATGTTCCATTTTTATTGGTATTTTAGTGCATATAAAAACTAGACCACTTACATACATCATTTAAAAAGCCCTTTGATGTTTTGTGACGAATAGCGTTTTTGTAACTCCTCTGTTGACTGGGTTTGCTTAGAATATGGTAATGGGGCCAGGCATGGTGGCTCACGCCTGTAATCCTAACATTTGGGAGGCCGAGGCCAGCGAATCATGAGAGGTCAGGAGTTTGAGACCAAACTGCCCAACATGCTGAAACCTTGTCTCTACTAACAATACAAAAAAATTAGCTGAGTGTGATGGTGCACACCTGTAATCCCAGCTACTCAGGAGGCTGAGGTGGGAGAATCACTTGAACCTGGGAGGCGGAGGCTGCAGTGAGCCAAGATAACACCACTGTACTCCAGTCCTCCAGCCTGGGCAACAGAGTAAGAGTGATTTCAAAAAATATTTGTATAGTAATAGTAGAGAAAGCAGCAAA